TATATGGTAAGAACTTGGCCCGCAGGCGCCTTTGTTAGGTCTGCTTTTAGGACATCATGCCACCTTAGAAAGAAAAGGAAAGATCAAATCTCCGATATAAATTAAATGAAAGACTCCTTGCTACAGTAAAGCCACAGTGGATTAGACACACTCAGTGAGTTTGGTTACAGTTATATGAAAATAAATCACCCAAAGACTTTAAGACTGTTAAATCTTTGCAGCTTTAAATTTTTGAATTAGCATTCATATAGAACTGCGGCTTTCCATATTTGTTACACTAATATAGGCAGCATTTCCAAAGCAATCCTTTTATCTATATTTTTCCTCTACTTCTGCAAATTATTGTTAGTCCAGAATTATTGCAGTAATCAGCAAGAAACCACACTCCTTTACAGGGAAAATGTTTGCAGCTTTTAAGCTTATTAAAAAAAACTAAAAGTTAAATGTTTCTTTTACTAATAGCAATGAAAACTTAACCTAGTTTGGAATTAACATCAACAGCCTGATGCCTCTGATTTATTGCATTGTTTCATGCCTGCCTGAAAGATTAAAACTTCTGTATAGTATTAGTCAGATCATCAAACTTGTAAATAATGTTTCCAAATTCCAGTTATTTAGTAGAAAAGCTGCTCCCCTGAAAGGAATCAGTAATTAGAGCAGTTTGAGCCTCTGTGCAGAGCTAGTTACATGAAAAAAAAAAGGAAACCCTTTCAATACACACATGGAAGAGCAACAGATGATAAAGTCTCCTACCTTCTGATCTAACACTGATCAGTGGTCTATAGGATGAAAAGAAAGGTGCAGTGGGTCTAAATGAGGCGACTGCTGCAGCCAATCCACAAAGCCCTGGAAGCATAACTGGACACTGTTGCTATAAACAAGATTGGCTAGGGCCAGGACTGTTGTTTTCTATCCTTATTAAGAGGTAATGACAGGAGAATCAAAGCAGAACCGACATCATATTAGATAGTGGCTGAGCAGAGCTTTTAAACACAGTTGACATCAGACAGCTGGCTGGAATATTTCCTGTTGTGCATTAAATTTAGGCTGCCTTAGGATACTGAACATGACTGTTAGGTCTCGAAGAGACTGTATTATTGAATGTGAATGCTGATAATTTATAGTCTGTCTCTTGGTCTTCACCTCCTGGCATATACTGTTGTGATACACATGATTGGGCAGGGAAATACCGATGACAGACGGTTGTCCTCATCAAAGCTGATGGCTGTACGAATGAATTATGGCTGCATATCAGTAAATCAGTATATCATCATAAAGTTACTTTATTCTTTTTTATTTGGTACACTAAGAAAATCTCATATCAAATTAATTATACAAATAACTATATATTTCAAGAGTATGCGTTATGGCCAATACCTAATCAATCTCATCCCACCTACCTCTGCAAAATGGCGGTGGAACACAGACAAATAACTACACACTACTTCCTAAAAGCAATCTGCAGACCATTTAGACCATTTTGCAAACTTTGAAACCTGGTGAGAACCCACATATGCATCTTTCATGCAAAAAAAACTCCAGGACTTGCTGCAAAGAAACGGTGGTAAAGCCTACAGCAGTGTGCAGCCCGCTCTCTGGAAATGAAACCACAAATTAATTTTGTGGGGAAAAAAAATAAAAAATTTAGATTATACTCACCCTTTATTATCTACTTTATTCCTTACACAAAAAAATCCCACATCTTAGTTTTGATACAGCACTCTAAACAGCTAGCCACTTAGCAATGTTTTTTGTGACTTTCTCTTCTTTTTAAGGCTATCAGTCACTACCTGCTGGACAGCTGTCAAGTCAACAGTCTTCCCTGTGGTTTAGTGGGCCATAATATTAACAATTATCTAAACATTTGTTTATTGTTATTGGTTCTATGAAACACTATGAATTTCTGATTTTTTTTTTAATATAAAAACTGAAATTGTCTTTAGGATGATATTCTTATGCATTAAGGAATCACCTTTCAGGTAAGTGTTTGACATTTGGGAAATATACTGCACGTTAAAAAAAAAACATTAGATATTAGATTATTGTTAACAATAGATTATTTTTTTTTACTTTAATTGAATTTCCATAATATTGTGCTGAAATTAAGAAAATAAAAAGAAAAAAATTATCTGACTGAAAATGATTAATGGCTGGAAACTATCATATTAAAAAACATGTTTTGGATTATTTTTATGTCCAACATTCTTTGCCCTTGTCCCATGTTGGAGGATGTGCAACTTCTGGAGGTTATGCAGATCATTGCTTCTCGTTTTACTCTCTCCTCTTTTGTTTAGCCAACAGATTTTTGTTTTGTTTTTTTTTTTTGTTTCTGTGAGATTTAGGTGTCTGACTGAGATTACCACAGAAAAAGTGTGAGATGAGCGTTTCTGTTTTGATTTCGTAATTTGTTTTTAATCATTATCCTATTGAATGAGTGGCTGGTGACCAATTTCATGACTTGCAGCGTTACAAGACTAGTGAGAATGATCTGATTTTCTTAAAGGCTTCGTGATACCATTTTACCTAGGGCAAAAAGCATGGTCCATAGGATAACAGATTTAACAACTTTACTGGCGATATCGGTTTTTCTCATATTCATCCTTTGTTTCACCCAACCCTTACAGCTGCAGGGCTAAAGAAACGTTCTTGTCATGCCATATTCATACCCCAGAGAGCAAGTTACCTACATCATATAGATCTAGATCATTCTGGTCACACACTAATAAAAAAAAATATTTCTAATTATGTGTCCATATGGTACTTTCCAGGGCCTAGCTGAGTCATTTCAAGTTGCTATTAAAATGAGGAGGTGGGTTTTAAGTTTCTGCCCCAAGCTGAGGAGTTTTGAACTTATTCATGAATGGGTGTAGAACGGAGCAGGATGTTGATGGGTTGACACTTCCTCTATAGTCATAACGAGGACTGGCTGGTCTCCTGTGGTAAAGAGATTAAAATCAAGAGAAAATGGAAACGCATCTTTCGAAATGCGTTTCCACTGTGTTCACTAAGGTCTAAGTGCTGTTGGAAGAGATCAAAAGAATGAAATGTTAGAAATAGGCGACAGAGCATTTTTTGCATGTTGGCTGAGTTCTTACAGAGAGACAATGAGAAACTCAGAGCAGAGTAACTAACTATCTGCATCAAAGAGACCCAGTGGAGAATGCTTTTTCTGATTTTTATACAGATGCCCTCCATGGGCATGCCCTCCAAACTGAGTCGCAGAAAAAAAGCTGGATGACAGCCGTGATCAGAAGGATGTACAGGCTGTTTTCTCCAGGATACTACAAAGTGAAATCTGGTGAATCCTCAGAAGGCTTATTTGATCACTTTCAGTAAGGTCTGCAATCTAGAGCAAGGCATTCAACCACAATGAGGGAGGGATACTGGAAGATACCTCAACCACTGAGAAAAAGTAGTCTGTAATTGTAAAGCTGGTCTGATGATGTTGTCTGAAGTTATCGGACTGTCTAATACTTAACCTTATAGTGAAATATCACACATTCTTGAAAGGCATAAAGGCTCTGTAAAATCAAATATGTGATATTAAAACCATTTCTTAAGAAACTGCTTCCACTTTTAATTAAAACAGTGTTTAATTTAAAACAGAATTAAAATTATAAAAAGAATTCCCAGAAAATAACCACCTTATGTCTTGAATTTGAATAGCAGCAGCTGAACACGTTAATCAATAAAGAAATTAGCTCTTCATGCTGAGACAACCATCAGCTAGCCTCTCCTTTATGTTTACCAGAAATTAGTAGAAATTCCCTTATTGACTACCCATCTCCTCTAAGCCAATTATATATTTCCCAAACTGTCAAACAGTTTCTTAAAAAGAAAAAAAAATCATGGTTGTTACGGATGGTGGAATATAGCTGGAGGCTAAATGTCAAGTTGAGATGCAGCTTTGGATAGCTGGTAGAAGTTCGAGTTTGATTCTTGTTCTTTTTTTCTTAAAAACAGCGCAATTGTTCTTAACAGAACACTGAGTTTATATAAACGTGTAATTGTTGATTGTGCATAATACCTGACAGAAATCAGGTACATCTGTTTCTTACTGCAGTTTTGTCTCACATAGTGAAACTGTTGCTTTAAAATGATCAACCAAGTACAAATGCATTTATTTTCTATAAAATGTATTATTCTGTTTCACCTGCACACCCTTATGAGATTACTATTTATTTAAAGACATATTTAGCAAGTAAAACTGTTGCTTTGCAAGACTTCAGATGTTAAAGATGTTTCTATGAATGTTCCTGCTGCTATGTAATTATCTAGACAGCTATTTTTGTGACTCAGATCTGTAATTATTGCTATTAAAGTGTCTGTCTCCACTGGTGCAATATCAAGAGTTTGCTTTAAATGTCTCCTCTTTACTTAATCCATTTATTTAAGTCAATGAACATTTAACAGAATTAAAGAAAAGCAAGGTGGAATTACAACATATCTTTTTTTGTGTTGGATAGATTAATAACAGGCTCTGAAGTCACTTTTCAAAACAGTAAATATCATTAATTATAATTTAAATATTTCAATCTATGTGACAAATATCCTATTTAATTAAAAAATATCTTTCCTGGTAGCATTTTTCTTTATATTTGACCATTTGAATACTTAGCTAAAGCCATGGTTTGGAGAGTTTCTGAATAATCAAAATCATCAAATAGCAGAGAGCAACCAAAACAGCATTAAGTTTTGGTTTTAGATATACAGCTAGGGCTGAAACAATCAGATTAATCATGATTAATCTATTATTGAAATAATTGTCAACTAATTTAGTAATTGATTAATCGTTAACTGGAGTATAGAGACTCTAAAACATGCCTTTAGCTGACAGAGCAACCCACTTAGAGCAGTACTTATATCAAGATTAAAAAAAATATATATATAAGCATTTTGCATTTAAGTAGGAACAATTTTTTTTGCCTGTCAATATGTTCTATCCAGAAGTCCTCAAGTAAAAATTTTAGTTTTACCTGGTTTAATTTAGTCAAATATCTTTAAGGAATCTTTGGCTATGGGATTATTAATGGATTAATTGAAAGAAATAATCCACTGATTAACTGATTTGCAAAATAATTGTTAGTTGCAGCCCTATATGCATCAATATCTTTTTATTCTGGACTAAGGAATCGGTCTGCGAGAAAGAGGCATCCCGTTGAAAAGAAAACATGGCTTGCCTATAATTACCCAGAAAATAGAAAGGTATAAACAGCAAAAATATCTGTATAACCTAAGAGAATGTATAAACTTAAGACAGATAAATTCAGTGGCATAGTCATGCTTCGGCATTACATTACTCCAGAAAGAAATTAGGTTATTATCATGGTTCCAAATTACTAGATAACCTTCAGCTCAATAAGGATTATAGCTTCAGCACCAGTATTAATGGTAAGATGAATCCTAAACAACAAAGGAATTAACATTTTGGAGAGGGGTAAGCCCAGTAGGAATCTGACACAAATTGACAAATAATACAAACACAAGTATATGTAGAGAGAGATCTTGTTCTAAGAGAATGGACAATGAGGTAAACAAGAGAAGTCTTAGCTAGCCAAAGAGCTCATATCAAAGGCCTTTGCACAGTTATGCAGTCAGTTTCTTTGTTTTGTTTTTCTGACCGATTTTATGATTTTAAGGTAAAAATCTTATTGTCTCAATGGAAAATTGTCTTGTGTACAAACTCTGGCTGCTGCAAAATCGACAGCCATAAGTGTCACATTAAATTCACATATAAAACCACTTTTATAATAAATCAATTAGAAAAAATGAATGCATAAAACAGTTAGTGCCGTTTCCAATCCAAAATTTATTGCCTGCTGTCACAATTTACTGTTTATGGATTTAATAGAAATGGATCAAATGATTTGTTGTACCAACGGGGTCTACATGCAGTAACTCTGAGATAGCGACCTGAGGGAAGATACTGATAGAGATTATGAGTGGGGTCCGAGAAAACTGTCTGGACCTGGACCTATCGTTTCACTGATAATGGTCTTAAGTTAGGGATGCGGTTTAACTCCTAACAACATCTTAGCTGTTTGTATGAGACCAGTGAGTTTGGCCCTTAGGTGACTAAACCCGGAAAAAATGCCATACCTAATGGTTCTCTCTGTTACAACATAGTAAAAAGCAGCATGCCTTTCTGACAAACATCAAACGCCCAAAACCTGCACAGGAAGTCTAGCCGCTGCTGGTACCTGTCACAGACATAGTCAACCTGACTGTGCATGATAGTCCATTCATATTCATTCCAAGACATTTGTGGGCGATCATTTGATTGTGGATAAACTGCCTTCAGTTCAAAGATCAGTTCCTGTGTTTTTTAGACAACAGAAAGTGTTCCTCACACATCTGACCAAAGGATTGAATCTGCTGTCTATAGCTAGTTAAGGGCAATGTGTCTGAAATTAGGCAGAGAATAGCTGCATCATCAGAAAATAATAACATAGTTTTGTGAGTTCAACCTGCAGTTCTTGGTATACAAGTTGAACAAAATAGGTGAGTTGACAGTCATTGGTTCCCAGCAATTGGCTTGGTTTCCAAAAAATCAAATCAAAAAAAAACTTCCAATTTGAGCACTTCAGGTGAAACTGGGAGCTTCTGCTTCATCGTGTGCAGACATCATCGTTGCACTGCAAGACAGGGTACAAAAAGCAAAACACACAGTGAGCTTCATGATACATGAACAAGTCTGAACAAATCAAGTCAGTGACCAACCATAAACATCGTCATGGTATGAGACTATAATGGATTTTAAACTTTTATTACATTTATTTAAATTGCCTCGAATCAAAAGACCTAAAAGACACATGGCAGCTTTTTTTTCTCCATGTTTTAAAATATTATGGTTGATGTTTTTTGTAATTCTTTCCTACAATTGATTAAAGAGTAGAGTAGTTTGTAATTGAAGGTCAGAAGTAAAAGGGCAGATTTTACATTTAGAACTTATTACCTGATCATTTAACTCTTATTTCTATTGATTTAATTTCTAAAATTATTACTTGGATCATTATTTTATAACAGGATTTTCTTTCTTAACATCAGATCATGTAATGGTTGTAAGAAGACCATTTAATTTGAATGCATGAATAACACAGTTTGGATTTGGTAAAAAGAAAAAAGGTTTTGAGAAGGATTTCACTAGGAGCAAAGGTAATTTATGCTAGATTATGAAAATATGGATTGGTTCTTTTAAGGGGGAAAAATTAAATATGGGCATCAAGTAAAAAAACAATGCCAGATCCAGAGCTCTTGAGCACAGATGGTGTAAAAAGAAACAAGTCCCGTTTCTGTCAAGCAGAAAGTAAATCAAAATGCTTTAGAAATTTGATCAGCATGTCGTGTGAGTGAAACATTATTACAAGTAAATGACATAAAATACACAAACCAGTCTGTAAATTAATTATACAAAAATGTCTATGTATTTTAGTGCAAAAAAAAAAAAGCCTTAGAAATCTTGACAGTAATCTTAAAAAAAAAAAATGACAATTTGTCTTTCAACAGTTTCACAGAGTAGATGGAAACATTTTACACAACATTTTTCTATCTACTTTGGAGCCACTTTCCACAATGGCCTCTTTATACTGTAAAATGTTTGCAATCCCACAAAACTCTTCCATGACAGAATGCAGTGGGATCTAATAAACGTTGGTACGATGAGGAGTCTAATGCATGCACACTGTATGATAACTACTGGAACAAATCACAGCAATAAGCTATGCTGATGCACCTCATCAGCAAACAACATGCATCTGTCCTGCCAAGCATTAAACACAACCCTGGTAGCTGCAGCCTTCATGTGCATTAAAACAAATGTAGAAAGAGAATATGAATGCAGCTACGGGTGGAGAGGAGAGGCAAACCTGGGATGCTAGTTTTACAGAATGAGTTGGAAGTTTGTATTCATTAATCTTCTATTAGCGGATAGTATCCATAAGCCTATATTGGTTACTGCTGATATTTCTTAGGTGACATATTTAGTTAAATAAGTATTAAGCAAGTCTTCCCCTATGCAAGTCTTATTACATAAAAGACAAATTATAACTTAAA